GTGGCGGCTGTCACCCTCGGCAGCCTGGGCGCCGACGGCTGCAACACCCTGACTAAGGCCAGCCTAGGGCGCCGCTCACGCCCAGCGAACTCGTGATACTCGTGCTTGAGGCCGATGGCGTCCAGCAAGTACCGCTCCGCGCTGTGAATGAATATCTGCCGCATGATGTCCAGCGAGGAGGTGGCCGCCATGCGGCCGCGTGCCTCCGCCCACCTCTGGGAGTGGTCCTCGGTGCAGCACGCCTTGGGGAGAGGGTACGGAAGCTTCTTGGGAACCTTCATGACCTGCGTGAACCTGTTGACCGAGCTGGCGTTGAACCTGGGCTCGACAGGGAAGTGTGGAGAGATATCCCACCCAAGCTTGTTCTCCGCCTGCACTTCCGAGATCGCGTGAGAGACGACAAAGTAGCCAATCACCTTGCCCGACGGCCGAATAGTGCCGTCCGCTGGCGACACCACCCTGCCTCCGACGCGCTCGAGGAAGCCCAGGCACTGCAGTTCGTGGGGCTCCATGTTGAAGTCTCCCGCGATCACGAAGGGCTTGCCGATGGCGCGCACTGCCATCGCGATGCCGTCCAAAATGCTGAGGTTGTAGGCCGAGAGGCCGACGCCAACCTTCAAGTAGACGTTGAACCAAGCTAGTCCCCCAGGGAAGGGGCCAGCTACATGCGCGACTGCCGCGCGTCCTGGCGTGAGCACCGTCGGCTGCCCCGCTTCGAACTCGCCGAGGCCCGAGGACCTGGGCGCCAACTGCAAGAGGCCGCCGTGACCTGCATGTCCCGCAGCCACGTCGGTGGCTGGAGTGGCCACCGCATGCCAGCCAAGCCTCTGCAGCTTGTCTGTGACCTCGCAGCACCTCTCCTGGGAAAGGTGCGTCTCCTGGACCGCAACCAGGTCGCAGCTCCTGAGACCTTCGTAGCTGAAAATGCCCTCGAACCTGCTGTAGGCGTTGGCGTTGATGGAGAGAGCTGTCCACCAGCGCCCGCGAGGGCGGCTACCCTGGGGTTCGTGGCTTCTTGACGGGCCGCAAGACCTCCAGGGCGTCGCGGATCCTCTTGCGCTGCTCGTCATCATCACCACAGCTGCCAAGAAGCCCACCAGGGTCATCCTCGCCCAGGAAGTCGTCGAAGTCCTCGGCTGGTGCCGCCCCCGCTGCTGGCGCCGCTGGGGCCTCCCCTCCGCCAGGCTGAGATTCAGCTGGCTCGGGGGCGGGCACAGCGCCGCCTGCTGCGGCAGGAGATCCGCCCTGCGGGCGAGCTGCCTTCGCTTCCTCGGCGAGCTCGTTGACCACCTTGGAGAGCTGCTCGAGGAGATCCTGGCCAGAGACTCCGTCGGTGTTGAGCGTGCTGAGCTTCTCCTTGATCGCGTCAGGGCTGATGCCTCCACCGTAGAGTGCGGCAGCCTCGCGCTTGGCATCTGCGAGCTCCTGCTGCAGCTGCGCGATGCCCATCTTGGTCGTGTGCACCTGCTCCAGCGCCTTGCGAGCCACCGCGGACTCGCGCTTGAGCCGATCTTGAGCATCAGCAAGCTGCCGAGCAAGTCCATCCACTTTCTGAGGTGCCGACTTCCCCACCAGGCCGAGAGACTGAGCACGGCGAGCAGCGTCCACTTTCCCACGAGATGACTGCGTGAGGGTGTGCTTCGTCGCGTCCCAAGTCTCCTGCGAGAATGCGGCCCAGACCTTGATCTCCTCCGCGCTGAGGGACGTGCCCGTGGAGCTCTTGTCGCCTCCAGCACTCTTGCCTTTGAAGAGCTTGCCGTTGAGACCCCACTGGTTGCTCGGCGGCGAGTTGGCCCACTTGCCGCGGGTGGGAGGCTGACGAAGCTGCCACGGCTGATGCTGCCCTGCTCCGCGCGGCAGGCGAGGTCGCATGCCTCCGCACCCTGCCTTTGTGCACCGAGTGCGGTCATCCGCGTGGTACTCTCCACAAACACACTGCCACTGAGGTGCCATGGCCGAGACACGCTCTGTGTTATAAGTGCCAAAACTATGGGAGCCGCCGCGCGCGCCGCTGAGAGTCGAGCTCGGGAAACAGAGCTATCCCGTGTCGGCCAGGAGGCTTGCAGCCTCCCAAGCATTGGGTCTTGAGCCAAAATGGCTACGGAGGGATTGGATCCGCAGGAGAAGGGCAACCTATAGGAACACACGTAAAACCCCGAGGCCTCGTGCACATATGGGATGCCCAGCATATAGGAACACACGTAAAACACGTCGGATGGTATACACAGGAGAACGACCACATATGGACGCAAATGTAAAACACAGTGGATGCGTGCATACGTATAACATGAGGGGGGGCCTAGGGGAGGCACAAGCTATACGAGCATACGCACAACACCTGGGATTGGAGCCGCTCCCGTGGCCTTCTGGGGCCTCCTGCTCCTGGGGCCTCTTGGGGATCCCCGGTGCCTCCTGGGGGCCTCCTGGCGCTTCCTGGCGCGTGCTGTGGCCTCCTGGGGCTTCCCCGTGGCCACCCGTGGCCTCCTGGAGCCTCCTGGGGCATCCGGAGGCCTTCTGGCGCTCCTGGGGGCCTCCTGGGGGCCTCCTGGGGGCCTCCTGTGGCCTCTTGAACCTTCCTGCGGCCTCCCGATGCCTCCTGGGGACCTCCTGGTGCCTCCCTGGGCCTCCTGGACCCTCGTGTGGCCTCCTGGGGAGGATCCGTGACCCCGAGTCTGTGCACCAAAACAGGCAACCCGATGGAGACATCCTCCAATTCTGGCCCCACTTGGGGGCGATCATGGAATGAGCGCCTCGCTCGAGACATCCAATCGGTGCTGAAACCCGCGCCTTGCTCGAGACATCCTCAGAATTCGCTCCGCCATCATCATCATCATCATCATCATCATCATCATCATCATCATCATCATCATCATCATCATCATCATCATCATCATCATCATCAGCATCAGCATCAGCATCAGCATCATCATCATCATCATCATCATCATCATCATCATCATCATCATCATCATCATCATCATCATCGTCATCAGCATCATCAGCATCATCAGCATCATCAGCATCATCATCAGCATCAGCATCAGCATCATCATCATCATCATCAGCATCAGCATCATCAACATCATCAGCATCATCATTAACAGCATCATTATCAGCATCAGCATCACAGCAGCATCATCATCGTCATCATCATCATGAGCATTACCATCAGCATATCGGCATAAGCATCATCATCATCATCACCAGCAACATAATCATCACCACCATCACCATAATCATCACGATCATCATCAGCAGCAACATCACCATCATCAGCATCATCAGCATCAACATCCTCAGCACTGTCATCACCATACCATAACATCGCACAACCTAACCCAACCTAACATAACACACCATACCATACCATAAAATATCATAACACGACATGAGGGGATGATCAGGATAGAGTGCAGGAGTTTGCGCGGTCGGAATAATGACATACCATAGCATTTCATGCCATCTCAGAACTTAGCATGAAGAGGAGAGGAGGTGGAGGTGAGGAGTCGGCGCGGTCGGTAACAACAAGAACCCCATCCTTTGGCATTGGGTATGGGGAAATAACAAAAATCCAATCATGTCTGGATATTGGGAAACACATATCCAGACTGTATGTTAACCATTCTCGAAGATTCCTCCTGTAGGGAGATGCCCGAATTAAACCATAGTGAGGCGACGGCTTGTCGAACTCGCAGCCCCAGTCGGTTCCCCTCTCTTGAAGCAGTGGGGACCCAGACCTGGCCCGCCCGAAGAGGGTGCGGCAAACATGGGCACGATGCCCAGCAACAAACGCTGTCCAACACCGACAAAGGGCCCTGTCGGGCAGGCGGCGCATGTTTCTCGAGTAGACAACGTCCGCAGCGTCACCGACAACGAGCCCTTTTTCAAAATGACCAGGATGTGATGCTGGTCTTCGCCCCCACGTCTTCTGCACGCTTGCCCACTTCCATCGTCCTAGACATCCGGCGTCGTGCTGCTCCCAACCGTCCTGGTGGTGCAGGCCCTTCGCCTTGGATTCGCATCGCGACGGGCACGCCTTGTCTTCCTCCTGCCCCGCCCTAGGGGTCCCATTCGTGGCACCCCTCACACATTTCGGGCCCCCATGTGGAGCTCCACCTCCGGCCCCCCTGGGGCGCCCGAGTGCCGCACCCACGCCCATCTCGGCCCACCCCTCGCACGCTCCGGTGCACCCATGTGGCACTCCGCCTACTGCAAGCGTATGCCGCGGCGTGTCCACTTCGGCAAACCCCTCGCAAGCTTCGGCCCCCGTCGGCAACTCCACTCCTGCAAACCCCTCACACGCTGCGGCCCCCATGGGGAACTCCACCTACGGCCTCAGTGGGCGCGTCCGAATGCCGCACCCCCCGCCAATTTTGGCCCACCTCTCGCACGCTGCGGTGCATCCATAGGGCGCTCCACCTACTGCGCGCGTATGCCGCGGCGCGCCCATATCCCCTCAAACGTTTCGGGCCCCCGCAGGGAACCCCAATTGATGCCCCAATGGGCGTGCGCGCATGCTGCCCTGCATCCATTCTGGTACACCCCTCACACGCGCCGTGCCTTACGGGGGACGAGTGTCCATACAGTCTGCGGTGTCGAAATTGTAGATAGGCCTCACGCCCTGCACTACATGCAGCTGCTCAGGCTTGGGCCCTTCGCCAGGCTAATGTTGTAGCACGTGTCCCCGGGACGTATCGGCCCTTTCTTGGGGACGGGTCCTGCATCCGTCGGCCAGAAGCCACGGGACGCGGCAACGCCCATGGGAAGCCGAGGCCAACAAGGGCACAAACGCCGGGGTCGAGCACATCACGTCGCCCGCCCCCCGCTGTCTGGGATATGCACCCCCCCGTTCCCTGCCAGCGCCGCGCTGACGGGCACCCGCCTCGGTGGCACTGCCCCCCCCCCCGCTGTCTGGGATACGCACCCCCCCGTTCCCTGCCAGCGCCGCGCGGACGGGCACCCGCCTCGGTGGCACTGCCCCCCCCCCCCCCCGCCGGCGCCTCATAGTCCCGCTCCAGAGCCATGCCGCGTCCGTGGCCGACCCCTCCAGCAGGCCTCGGGCGTGCGAGCGAGGGGCCCGCGCGGGGCACTGCCCTCCTCCGGGGAAGCAGCGGCACCGGGAGGGCCAGACGGCATCTGTGACCAGGGGGAGGGGACCCTTTACAGGGAGGAGGAGGGGGAGGAGGAGGAGGAGGAGGAGGAGGGGGAGGAGGAGGAGGAGGAGGAGGAGGCGCAGGAGCAGGAGCAGGGGAGGGGGTCTACCCCGCAACCCTCACGGTGCCTGGCAGCGGCCACCCTGAGCCCGGTGTCGGTGTGTACGCCCTCATGGCTGATGCCAGCACTGTCTATACGCCATCCTGGGGCCCAGGACGGCCCTAGATCTGGAATAGACTTTTACCAAACGCACGGGTTGACCAACGCGTGTACAACGCTTGGAATAATTTGACAAGGTTGCCGGGGTGAGTCGATAACAGCCTGGCGGAGGTGGTACGATTCCAACCTTCGGCTAATGACCATGCAACGCAGTTATGAAAGCACCGTACCTGGAGGGGGAGCGTGAACCCTGGCGGTGAGTCGGATCTTCTGTCAGAAAAGAAAGATGGTAGACTGAATGATCCCACGCACCCGAAACCCGACGGCCAACCCCCGAGGCCGTTAGTGCAATGACCGACCAGAACTTGCACACACATCTGAACAGGCGCAAGGACGCGCGGACCCTGCTCATGCAGATCCTCGACTCAGGCGGGAGGGCGATGGTGTTGGCGACGTCGACGACGCCGACGATGTTGGTGATAATGCTGCTGGTGATGATGATGATGATGATGATGATGATGATGATGTTGATGATGATGATGATGGTAATGATGTTGACTCTGATGACAATGGTGATGGTGATGATGATGCTGCTGATGATGAAGGCGAGGATAACAGGGATGACGAGGATGACAACAATGGCGCGAATGATGACAGCAGTGACGGTGATGATGATGATGATGCGAATGCTAATGATAATGATAATGATGATGCTAATGATAATGGTACTGATGATGGTGATGCTGATGTAGAGGAGGATGGTGATGTTGATGTTGATGCCAACGGAGACGCTTGCAATGTTGATGGTGATGATGATGCTGACGAAGATGATCAGCAAAAGCGCGCGCAAAATCCCTGACTGCTCCTTGACGTGAGAGACGGTTGGGTTGTCACACTTGGTCAGAACTCCTCTACTTTGATTGGCTCAGAAACCCAATGCTTGTGCTGTGATCTCGGCATGCGCGCGCGGCGACCCGCGTGTGGTCCGCAGAGTACGATTTGACAGTTGGCTGGCGCGCGATAGCTTCTGAATGATGCTGGCATACGCGGGCGAGTGGACCTCATGGACCGTCGGACAGAACACCCAAACATTTATGTCTCTTAGCTCCAGCGACTGCGCGCGCACAAGAATCTGGCAAGAGAGTGTTGAATCACATGTTGGATATGGTATTGCCAGACCCAACTCTAAGCAATGGAATGGGAGATATCTGGCACGTGCGCGCGGGCGCGCCCACCTGCGATTGTTAGGCGTAAAAAAACTGCGCTTGCTAGAACAACGCGTGTTCCCAAAGAACTTTTTGGTGCAAGGCATGACCGTGTGGGAGGGCTCAGTGATGGCCTCGTGCTCATGCGGAGATCTTGCATTCAGAGCGAACGCCATATCGCGCATACTTGAAAAGCGACAAACAAAGCCGGCTGCTAAGCCTGGCCTCGGCATTGGGGCAGGGTCGAATCATGATTCGGCGCGCGAATCGATGGAGGTGCGGTTTGCGCCGTGTCATGTCGGGTGTGCACACTAGGTGGTGCCACCCACATGGTGCAGTATGCGTGGTGCGATCCTGGTGTGCGCCCCGAAATGCCAACCAACAACCAAGGGCGGCCCTCGCGCGGCCCTCGCGACGCCAGAGTGCGTGGCCACGTGGTCCAACGACAGAAACAGCGCACACGAGCGCAAATGCTTTTAAATCTGGGGAAATCAAAAGGTACCGACACCGCTACTCCCCGGACCTCTCCCCGGGTGCGTTCTGACCAGAAGTTCGAAGCGAAGCCAGCGGCGGCGACGAAGAAGGCCCAGGAGGCCCAGGAACAGGAAAGCTGGCGAAAAGTAGAAGTCTGGGTGCCTTTTCCTCCTCCGAAAAGCAGCGCAAACGAGCGCACATGCTCAAATCAATCCCAAGCCACGGGGCGGCCACGAGGCGGCCGCAGGCGGCGCCGAGCGAACGCCCGGGAGCGCCAGTCAGCGCACAGCGGCGGCCACGCGCGGAGGCTCCCGGAAGTGCCGTGCCGCCGTCGCGCGAGGCGCCACGGGCGGCAACCAGTCGAAGGCCCTCAAATTCAGGTCGGGCGTGCCCCCCCACAGGCGAATTTTGGGCGACGACTTCCAGATGCCCAGAACAAGGCCCTGACATAGCCCAAAAACGCCCCCAACAAAATCACCCCCGAAGCGCTTGTTGAGCATCTTCGAATCTTCCTCCTGTGGAGGGACAGGCCCGACTTAACCGTATACCGGAGATGGACAGACACCCCCCCTTTAGTAAAACGTGGTTTAGTGAAAACGACCTGAGGCCCAAACCTGGCGGGCGCAAGCCTGGAAAAGAACGGCCACGGCGCCCTCTCGAGAACCGACAACGGACAATTCACTAATCGACGTGTCACTGTTGGGGGTTCTGTCCACCCCCCAATATAGCGCATGCACTGCTCTTTGGGCATCCGGAGCTGCGCGCGGACCCCTCGGGCCAGCGCCGGACCCCCTCTCCTGGCGCGCGGAGAAGGTCACCAGCAGAGGTCTCCTGCCCGGGGTCCGAGTGGACGGGTTCGGAGGATCACGCCGCATCGGCGATGCATCGCCGATGCATCGGCGGAGCGTTAGCGACACCAGCACGGACCAAGAAAAAGGGCTCCACATCGAGCCGCATCGGCGATGCATCGGCGATGCAGCGCGATCCTCCGACCCCTATCCGCGCGGACCCCATCTAGGAGGCCTAGGACCAGTTGGGGGCCCAAACCCATACGCTCACGTCGTTCTCTGCTCTTCGACCCCTTCCTCCCTCATCCTTCTCGTCGTGAGCAGCCTGCGAGCTGAGGGCGGGGCGCTGCGCAGCGCGGCCGATGCGGCCGCGGCCCATGTGCTGTGGGGGGGAGTGGGGGGCAACGATAGGGGGGTCGGTATAAGGGGGGGAAACATCGACCTGGAATCGGCGATGCATCGCCGATAGATCGGCGGTGGGCCCCCGATCGCGAGTCTGCACTCTCCTGGCCGGGGTGGCGCGATCGGCTAATTATCTCGATCCAGTCGGCGCTCGATGCGCGAAGGGGGGTCGGTGCATCCCGCCCCTACGCCCGTCTCCCCCCATCGCTGCCCCCGAGGGAGGGGGGGAGGGGGGGCACGGGCGCCCGCGCGCGCGGCGGGCCGCTGGCCAACGGAGGGGCGACGGGGGAGACGTGCCGCCGAAGCGAAGAGGACGAAGGAGAGAGAGAGCCCGGCCGCCGTGGGCCGCGCGAGGCACGGGGAGAGTGCCCTCGGGCCCCTTTGCGGTCCCCAGCCCTCGGTCCTCAGTCCTCGGTCCTCAGCCCTCGGTCCTCGGTCCTCAGTGCTCAGCCCTCGGCCCTCGGTCCTCGGCCCTCGGCCCTCGGTCCCGAGCCCTGGGTCCTCAGCCCTCGGGCCCCCTGGCAGTCCTCGGCCCTCGTCGTACCGCCGGCCCGCATCGTACGGCTGCGCGGCAAGGATGCAAAGGGCCTTGGAGGCCCATGTGAACGTTTCTCGACCGAGGTTGGCCAGCGAACATCGCTGAGGGTGGGCCGAAGGGGCAAGGATGCAAGGGTAGCCTTGAGAAGGTTGCCCATCCTTACTATGCGGATTGACTGAAAGGGCCCCGGCACCAAATTCCTCAATTCCCCAATGAGGCTTGCCCAAGGGGCTCTTACTTGGTTGGAAAGGTTGGTGCCTCTTATTGCTACTGTTCCCGTTGCTCGGACGTTTCTCGGTTCCTCGGGTTCTTCGGGTTCCCCGCCCCCGGTGCCTCTCATGTTACGTAGCCAGTTTCCTGGAGGCTCCTCGGGTTCCACGGGTTCCTCTGGGTTCCCTGCGCAAGCTGCCTCCTGCTGTTACATTGCCCGTTCCTCGGAGGTTCCTCGGGTTCCACGGGTTCCTCGGGCTCCCGGCCCCTGGTGCCTCGTATTCTGCGCAATGCCACGCAATGCCAAGCACTGCCACACAATGCCAGGCAACGCCACGCAATGCCAAGCAATGCCAAGCAATGCCAAGCAATGCCAAGTAATGCCAAGCAATGCCAAGCAATGCAAAGCAACATCAAGCAATGCCGAGCACCGCGCCCATGCAATAGGAAGCTTGCCATCATTTGGGGTCGCGCCAGGCTCATGTTCCGTGGTTTCCAGCGTGCCTCCTGCGGTTCCTCGGCGCTTCCCGCACCACGAGCGCCTCAAAACGGACCAACAGGGCTCCGAGAGGCCTCCGACCCACAACCAAGGCACAGTCGCGAGATGGGCCGAAGGCCAATACATAAACCGCATGTGAAGCCCTGCCCGGGACATCCGATACCCTAACGACACATAAACCCAAAGGGGGAGGGCTTGCAAGTGACCGAAGAGTTGGCGAGGAGGGTTTTCCTCCTCCTCAGCCTCCACCTGCTCCTCCCCGCTCTTCCTACCTCCTTCGGGAGACCGCAAACGTGGATTCGCGACGCGTGGATTGGCGACGGGTGCCCATTCCGCACGCCATCGGCGTGCTCCGTCGCCAAATCCCCGATCCGAGGAGCTGGCGCCCGCGCGCGAGAGCAACGGATTCCGAATCTCGAGTCGGGCATGTCCTCCGACAGGAGGGTTTTGGACGAAAAATGAAAAATATTCAAAATATGCTCAAAAGATGCCCAAAATATTCTTTTTGACTATTTTTGAATATCCCCCCTGTAGAGGGACAGGCCCGACTTCATCCCAATGCGCGCCAGCGTGCGCCCGGCTCTTCTCCTCCTCC